AATCCTCAACGATGATGAGCTCTGCCTGGGACGAGCGCCACACACGATGCGATAGATTCGACGTCATCGCTTTGTTATCTTTACCCATGTTATGCTTGGCTCAATTTTAGCTTGTGTAATCAAGTATAGATTTGTTCATTCGTTTATCTTTTTAGAAATTTATGATTCATTTCAATGGGCTATGTCAAAGGATTAGTGCTAAAAGTAGTGTAGGTCTGGTGCATAGCCAAGAGGAAAGAGGGGAGGGGGAAAAGGCGGGTTTCTATATAGCAGTACATCATTAATAGGTGGGAAAGGAAGAAGAAAGGAAAAAGAAAAAAGAGAGGTGAACTCAGTTTCTTTCCAGCCTTTTGAATACTTATTTGTAAAAGTATTAGTTATTTGTAAAAGTTCGCTTGCCCTTGATTCTGATGATTCTGTAACAATGCTGCATAACTCCAGAAATTTCTAGTCTTCCCATATTTTTCACAAGATTGATGAATAGTTGAGAATTCCTTGCGCGCTTTCAAATCACTGGGATTCATATTAGCACTTTTACCTTGTTCCGAGCGCCTTCAGTGAAGTATCCGCGCTCTGATGCGATAATTTAGTTCGCAGAAGTGTAAAACATACAGTGTAAAACGTTTTACATCGTCAGCAGTGAGTTGTATACCTTCGATCGTTAACGTGCTTTTAGTTCAGAGAGAAGCTTTTCAATGGAATGCAACGCCTTCTTCTTACTGTGGTGCTCATAAGGCAAATATTAGCAGGTTCGTTTTTATTTGTTTCTTTATGTCAACGCTTGAATTAATGAATCGCTTCTAAAGTTGCCAGAACTTAGCGGAATTCATTTGTGTGCTTACCGATTCATATTTGTAAGGGAAAAGTTATTCTGTTCTTAGCTGTATACTGTAGCGCTGCGAATGAAGGGGCGTGTCAGGCACTACGAGAGTGCAACGCCGCCAAACCCCTTTTCTGCCAGTTGTTGAAGTGGGTATGCGACAACAGTTGGTAGAAATAAACTGATACGAAGGATATGATGCAGTCTCGGGCGCAGTTTGTCGACGCTTTCCAGACGACGAGAGACGTGCCGAGCCATCTAGGTAGCCTTCTCTCGAGTTGACACGTTTCAGGATGGTGGCTAGACGATCTTACTCCAGCTTCACAAGCGTTCACAAGTATTACCAGAGTGATTTGTAAACCGGAACTAGGGAAGCAATGGTAGTACAAAATGCCCCCCCCCCCCGTCGACAAACAGCGCCCAGTTTCGTAACTTGCTCCTTCAACAGCTGATGGAGAACTGGTTTGGCACCGCGCCAAACTCGTCCCACCTGACACACCCCTTCGTCCGCAGCGAACTAGACTATACCTTCGATCATAGTAACTTCTCACAAAAGTCCGGTAGGTCTTGAAATGTAACTGCTCTCTATACAGGGTACAACATCATTGGGAGATTACTAAGAGGTTGGACCCCAACACTGGTGATGGGGTCGTATTTTTCTCTGAGAAAATTTTTTCCGAGCGCAAAAAGGTTGTTTTCCGGCTCTTGACTTTGTCCCCTCTTCCTTAGGTGTCTTATCCCTCCTAACCCGCTCCGAGGGGGAGGGGGAGTCAGTACACCCCCACCCCATCCTCTCCTTGAGAATTTCTTCACTTGGTACGACCCCGCTCCGAGGGGGGGGAAGCAAACCGGGGAAATTTTCAGGAAACTAGAAAATATGCCTGAAAGTTCGGAAAGCTTATCAAGATGCTAGGGAGAATAGGGAGCGGGGTCGTACCAAATGAAGGAAATTCTCAAGGAGAGGATGGGGTGGGGGTGTACTGACGCCATTCCACACATCACGATGCTGCACTCTATCTTTACAGCTCCCTGACCCCTCGTATTCCTATAGTTTGTGTTATGGTCTCATTTTAAACTTTATGAGCTACCAGCAATTCTGCCACATGCTAGGTGGGGTGACTTCTCGGTTACACATAATTGTCTTGTGCTAGTATTTATCCTTGGATTAATGCCTTATGCATACTATGCGATCTCGCTGTTGAACGACTGGGACACACACACTCTCTCTCTGATTTTTCTAATATCCAAGCGTTTCAATTGCCTAAAATTGGATCTAGAACTAGGAAGTAGCTCCTAGTTACTCCGCTTTCCATCTATGGTCTTACAACTATTACAAAGCGAACTACGAGGTGGTGAAATGTAAACTCGGTAAGAGCAATTGAAATGATTTAACACCGCTCATGCATACTGATTTCATTCAGCTACAACTGTAATATAGTCGCAAAATTGGGAAGTGTAGGTGTCTCTCCTGTCGCTTAGTTCAACCCATCAGATCATCGCCAAAAAGTTCATCTTATTATGCTCCATTGTATTTTTGGGAAGTAGCTCTTTTCATATTGAACAGCCTTTCATTTTCCTCTCTGTCTTTCTTTGCCAGAAATATTTATTTATTTGTTTACCTATTTATTCAATGCACGCAGAGGTGCGCCTATTAGTCTGAGTTAGGAGTAACTTGAGTTGTAACGAATCAAGCGAGCTACAATCTTACCTAACACTAACTTGTGGTAACATACAATAACTAAAATAGGAATAAAGGTCCCAGTCAGATCCTGGCCAGAAGAAATGAAGAGTTTGTGACAAAGCCAGTCCTTCACCAGTTATAGGGGTATGAATCGGGTACTCCTCATTGATTCGATGATATTAACTTCAGGGCGGATGAATCTGGGGAAAACGTCACTCCTAGACGAATATCATAGATTCAGTCAAATTATCTCACTATTTCAGCGCAGGATGTCTTGTTTTTCCATATCGACCAACCTAGGCAGCTTGCATATACTTACCAAATGCAGCCTTCGCACAGTGTCGGAGTTCCATTCCCAAAATACTCCTATAAGGTATGTTTCTTTTCGTCTGTGGCTTAGATTTGCTCAAATGAGCCGGCAATAACTTGTTAAATAGTTTGCAGTTTTCGCCGTCCTTTTCACTTCCATTTTTTAGGTGTTTTTGTGTACACCTTCAGTGTAAATAAATAATAAATAAATAACATTTTTCGAAAGTTGTTTCTACTATGATGGACTACTTTTCCTAATGACTCTTCTAGAAGGCTTCACTCGTATACGCATATCCAGCTCATGGTTGCGAGCCTTTAAAAAATAATATCGGTCCTAATGAAGTTGTGCTGCTGGAGCGAGGGTTGGTCGTTATTATCATTGGTGAATTAATATATTCTGGTTCGCTGCGGACGAAGGGGCGTGTCGCGCGGGATGAATTTGGCGCAGTGCCAAGCCCGTCCTCCACCAGTTGCTGAAGCGAGCAAGCGACAATCAGCAAGTGACAGAGGAAGGGTTTGGCGTTTTTGCACTCTTGTGTACCTAACACGCCCCTTCCCGAACTAGAGTATACGTCGATAAGATATGCACTCAAGTCTCAGCGAAACGGAAGCGATTTTGTCACACATTTTTGGGATGCGATCAATGGCAATTACATTCTTTCATCTTGAATATTGAATGCATTTTTTTTCTAGTGAATGTTCCTTTGTGGAGAAGATAATAAATGCGGAAAATGCAGGGGCATTGATTGCTCTCGTCACGGACTCGCATTCAGGTACAGTTTTCTTCTCAATCTATATTCTTAGGCTGCCTTCATACTTTTCAGCGGCGTTTCGATCGTTTCCTCTCGGAACGCAAGATCGATACCCGTAATTTCCTTCACCCGGAACGCTCAGAACGCCGGCAAAAACTATGAACGCAGCCTTATCAGTTTGAGTTCAGGACTAGTCCGACCCATAATGTCTTATTTATAGGAGGGGATGAGTTTGTGGATATGATTACAGATTCAACGGAACGGCAAGCAGGTATACCTGCTGGTTATATCACGGGTGCTAGCGGGTATGTTTTCTTCGTTCTTCTTTCTCTATTGTTCGTAAAAGAGATTCTTAGTGTTGATTACATTAATTTACCTGAACTTGAGTGTCCATACTTTGCGCTAGCCTTTCAAGCGTTTTGAGGGACCTAGCGTTCTGAGCGTGAGCCGTTTCGAGCAACTAGGAAAGCATGAATATCATTCTATAAGGTTTTGAGCGCATGCCATCGTTTTCAGAAACTTCCCGTCAGAAGGTCAAGCGGCCTGCAAGAACACTCAAAACGCTGGTGGACGCATACAGCGCTAGAACGATATCTTTACTTTCCTAGTCGCTCAAAAAGCTGGCGCAAAGTATGAACGCCACGTTACACAAGAAATCGTTGTGTTGGCAGAAGGGATATGGTCTCAAACTCTTTCTTTTTACGTGACTTCATCGGTTCATTTCATAATTTGATTCCATATCCCTTCAGTTAAATTTCCTTGCTTATTGATTTTTATGTATTAGAGTGAAGCTTATCAAGATCAATTTCACTTTGAAAATTATTGGTTTTATAATAGCCGTCGAATACGCGACTATTTATTGTATTCGGATGGATCTATACAGATGACGATTCCGCTGAATCATACGCTTTCGATGCTTCGAGAAATCCCCAACAAACCACCATGGGAACTCTGGTAATATTTTATGTGTTCATAGATATGTACTAATTTAGGTGAGGTGTATGCAAACGTTTTGGTTTTTGTTCTCTGAATTATTTCTAGAATATGGATGCGTTTCAGTTACATAATTCCTTTTAATTTTGGCTTTTTCACTCGGGATAGAATTCGTATAATTTTGAGGGTTTCATGCCGAATATTGATAGATGGTGATTTTACGTCATTTCGGAGGATGTTCCATCTCTGCGGGTTTTGGTATGTATGGATCGATATAGGATTGTTTCACACTCTTGATCTTTTAGTAGAATATTCCAAAAACAGACAAACAGGAAAAAATTAAGTTTTTCGGGCCTAAGCAAACGTTTGCATGCACCGAATTCGATGAGGCTTACGATGAGTGTATTTGCAGTTATGGATAGAGTACATTTGCAGTTACTTGCTCATATCTAAAATAGTTGTGATTATATTTTAATTTGTAGTGTAGTATATGCTGACAGGCAGGTACTGGTCTTTCAGAATGGGCAATATGCGTAAAGCTGAGCAGTAATATTTTTCAGTATTTCTTTAGTATTTGAGTTTTCCTCTCCTAGAACTTGCCGTATTTCTTGTTATGATGTTGAACGGTCCCGTAGGCCAACGACACGTCCTTACCGTGCCATCGCCCTAACCCCTGAAAGGCCAGACTTGCCCATCAGCAAACACGTTGACTGTATTGTTATAATTTAATAGTGGAGTGCTCCCGTAAGAGTTTGCTCGTTTTGACAATGCATTGAATGGCCTGTGCCTTACTTCGTTTGTATATGGGTTTCAGTTTAATGGGTCGGTGTAGGACTTACATTGCCAGTATTAAGTAGTACTACCAAACTGCGATATTGTTTTGCTTCCCTTGAGTTGTTGTTATTAGTCTTCCGGTGCACTTGGAGGCCTTCTACTGTGCCAGTTGTGTTTTTGTTACGATATTCAAATAAATCTTGGAGTCTGTTGTATTTTTTCAATTATTCCATCCGCATTTGTTTCACCATATTGGCAGTCTTGCTTCGGTGAGACTAGAGGTAACAAGCTTTGCTGGGTTTCAACGGATGGTACATCTTCCCCAATACAGTGAAGCGTGGGCTTGGTGGAAGCATTTTGCTTTGTTCCCATCAATGACTGCCTCATCAACAATGAGTACACTCCTTATCCCCGAGTCAGAGTAGGCGTGGCATTTGAACATGGCACGGAACTGATTACTCATGGGGCATTCCTGTCTAGGACAACTGTCATCTTGTTCTGCGTTGGACAGAGACACGACAACAATTGTGTCAGGATAAAAATAG